GTTCTAATAAAACCTCTAGATGTTTAGCACGTCAGCTTTAGTCTTCAGGTCTATAACACTCATGATAACAATATCCTATTTACAATGTTTACAAAGAAAGGCCTACTATGATAAGCACGAAATATACTTAATAGATTTCGGTAGCTTGCCCTGACTTCTATGGCAGATTCTCTCAAGATTTCAGGCGGTTCAGAATTAGTATTTTTGGTACAGGTATCTTGGACGTGAGATCTTTTTCCTCATCCTGTCCATCCCCTCAAGGGGCAGGTTGTCGGGGGGTGCTGCTGCCGGTTGTGCGTGGTGATGGAAAGCTGGTTCGAGGGGCCCCCAGTGAATGGGTATATGCAGGGGCGGACTGGGACTACAAATCAGCCCGGGACTCTCGACCGGCCCACTTCGTTGGTGCCGCTCGGAGGGGAGGGGGGGGGGGGGGGGGGGGGGGGCCCACTTCAGTACCGGCCCATCGGGATTCGTCCCGAACGTCCCGATGGCCAGTCCGCCCCTGGGTATATGTCTCTCCCAAACAATGGAGTCTACGTCTATGTCTATTGTCTATGTCTATGTCGATTTGGGACAGGATCGCCACTGCCAGGGGCGGCTTTGATCTTGAATGTGTGATGGCTTTCTTCATGCTGTCCAACACCTGGAGGGGCAGGTTGTCCAGGTGTTTGGACGTATCTATGAGACCATCTTTGATCGGCTGTGGATCTTTCAGCTGGAAACCATCGACTCCTTCAGCTGCAGTCTTGTATTTCTGCAGGAAGGAGATATTTCCAGCTTTCAGCACTTCCTCTGTGGCTCTGACTTTGTCTGAAAGAGCTTCTATGTCTCTGCTCAGATCCTCCATCTTCCACTTCAGGACCAGACTCTTCTGCTTCTTCTCCTGCATCACGGCATCTGTTCTTGCTTTCCGTTCTTTTTTGAGTAACTCCTGAAGCATCGAGAACTCCTTATTGATCTGAGTCTCTGAGTCTTTAGCCTGGTCCTTGAAGAGATCCAGTGTTTCCTTTAAGGGCTCCAGGAGTGTCCGGAGTCCCTCTCTGTAATCCAGAGCGACTTCATTGATTGGTCTAAAGCTGTGGTTGTTGTGGGAGCTTGAATGCAGACAGATCACACACACTGGTGTCCGATGGTCCTCACAGAAGAGTTTCAGCTCTTCAGAGTGCAAACTGCAAAGAACTGCAGAGTGTTTCTCAGGTGGAAAAGCTTCACACAAGTTCTTCAGTGCGAGGTTACAAGGTGGATCGTATTGTTGAGATGTTCTATTACAGACTGGACACTTGTGATTCGATCGTTCTGTCCACCATCGCTGCCAGCAGGCTCTGCAGAAACTGTGGCTGCATGACAGGATGACAGGGTGTGTGAAGAGCTCGTGGCAGATTGGACATTTGAGATTGTCCTCTGGACGAGAAGCCATTTTCTCTCCTCTGCAAACAGCCGATTTCTCACAATAATGAGTCAGTCGTGCTTTTACTCCAGAAAGTGTTCAGAAAGTCTTAAATTCAGCCGATAGCAGTGTCCCTATGTTCCCTCCTGTAGCTGTTCTCTCTGTGTGTGGCTCTCACATGTTAGTGCATCCTTTTCTAAGGATTAAAGATTGTGTTTCCTTGTTTGTCTTCTGGTAAGAGCCATAAATCCTGAAACATTAACCGTTATAAAGCAGGGGTGTGTCATGCCTTAATGTGTTAATATAATTATTTAGCAATAATTATGATCTTATCTGTTTTTTATGACACCATAACGGGCCAAAGGCTAGTTTTATACAGTGTTTCTGGTAAGTCGTATAAACTGAGTGTGATAGTTCAGCCAAGTAGTTTAACATCTTTAAACCCTAACTTATTGAACCCTTTTTATTCCACCAAATCAGCATTACACTCACCAAGGATAGTTTGTAGGAAAAAAGGATCTTAGTTTGTCGCCTTTTTTCTATTCCATCCTATATTTAGGCTTTTTTTTGTCAACACCTGGCACTGAAATAAACCAAATCGCAACGTAAAAGCTTTAAGCCCGCGTCACACTGTCCCGAAATGTACACCAGATGGACACACGATAAAGGAAATGTTCAAATTCGACTCTGATCGTAACAACATCGGGCCGTTCGTGAGGGCATCTTAAGCCATCGTATGACCGCTGGTGGAGTTTCTCAGGCTCCGGCAGCAACTTCGTGAGCGGTGGGAAAATCTTTGGCATACCAACAAATTGCCGAAAGACCTTGCGAAGGTTCATTTTCGTGTTGAATTTGTGTGCCCTTCGTAAGGCCATCGTGAGGGCATCTTGTCAAATCGTGTCGTTACTTCGTGTGATCATCGGGGCCATCGGGCATTTTTCGCCTCACGAAGACAATATGAAGGAAACAAGAAGCTGCCCAATTGTCTTAGGAAGGCAACACGACTACGTGAAGCCCTCGCGATGCCGTCGTGTAGCCATCGTATTATAGTACAATTTGTGTTCTGTGAAACTGAAAAGGATATTACGTTGTTTTTGTTACTTTCGTTGCAGTTGTATATGTCTTAAATGTAATTTAGGTTAACTTCCTGTTTTATTTAGATGCTTTTACTTTGAAGGCGAGTTTACGCTGTTGACAGGAAGTTGTAGTTGCTATGGAAACAACATGACGGAGTGTGTGTAGTTCGGGTGCCATCGTGTGGCCTTCTGTAGGCATCGTACTTGCTTCGGCTGTTGACCAAGTTCGGGGCGAAATTCACAATTCCATATTCGTGTCCATCTGGTGTCGATGTGGGGACAGTGTGACGCGGGCTTTATGACATTTGGTTTTGGTATTTTGTTGTTTTGCGCAATCAAAAAAATACACAAACATAACAGATAACAAATGATAAACAGTGCAGGAAGAAGCTAATCAATATACAACAAACAATGGCTAGACTTCAATGATAATGACAAACTTCAATATACTAAAAACTTCACTACAATAACACACACGTAGAAAGAAAGGAACATTTGAATATGAAAAGCAGGTATCAAACAGTGGTCACATTTTTATTTTTAAACGATCCATAGAGGTACAGTATTTAGTTTGAAAAGCTATCCGAGGTTGTTGTTTCCAATGTGCTTTATTAAAGGGTTATTTCCCTAAAAGAGTGTTCAGACTTACTTTAACACAGAGGAGTGGCTTGATTGATTTATGAAGTCAATACAAACATCAGATTGCATGTGAAACTACTTGTTCAAAGGTGGATTCTATTGCTTCAAAAACAATGCTGACTGACCATTTCAAAATCAGTTCCTGCAACTTATAAAATACTGCATGTAAGTAGACTTTTGGCAGCTTATGGTGTCAATAAAAAACAATTAAATGCCATAAATGAGATGGCAACAAACACAGAACAAACTGAGTGTGATTTTTGTATTTATTTAAGATTTGATGACAGCTTCAACATTTCGGTTTGGATGAAATAAACAAACGCAGCAGACAATGTCTCATCTTTCCACCTCATAAAGTCTCCTGACCAATAAGCAGTCAGCAGGAGTGAGTGATGAGCCAATTACAGAGCTGGATTACTGTCTGACCTTTCAGTCTAATATCTGATGTTCGACTGGAAATGACCAAACACACTGATATAAATGTCACTGTGACCTTTACACACAGCTGAAGTGATGAAACTGCTGCTCAGAGTAACACACAGACCCACAGATAAGAAGAGAGAAAGATTGATGCAATAGATAGATTCTTTATTGATCCCAAATTGGGAAATTATTTTGTTGCAGCAGCAAAGTGGACATGCATTAAAATCTATAAATCTTTTAAGGTGGAAGAAAGTTAGTTAAAGAGTTACGTCAATGGTCCATATTGTGCTGATGTTCAGGTGTATATCAGTATGTAGTGTCTCTACTTTAAAGAGTCCTCTCCTGCTGATGTTCAGGTGTATATCAGTATGTAGTGTCTCTACTTTAAAGAGTCCTCTCCTGCTGATGTTCAGGTGTATATCAGTATGTAGTGTCTCTACTTTAAAGAGTCCTCTCCTGCTGATGTTCAGGTGTATATCAGTATGTAGTGTCTCTACTTTAAAGAGTCCTCTCCTGCTGATGTTCAGGTGTATATCAGTATGTAGTGTCTCTACTTTAAAGAGTCCTCTCCTGCTGATGTTCAGGTGTATATCAGTATGTAGTGTCTCTACTTTAAAGAGTCCTCTCCTGCTGATGTTCAGGTGTATATCAGTATGTAGTGTCTCTACTTTAAAGAGTCCTCTCCTGCTGATGTTCAGGTGTATATCAGTATGTAGTGTCTCTACTTTAAAGAGTCCTCTCCTGCTGATGTTCAGGTGTATATCAGTATGTAGTGTCTCTACTTTAAAGAGTCCTCTCCTGCTGATGTTCAGGTGTATATCAGTATATAGTGTCTCTACTTTAAAGAGTCCTCTCCTGGTGATGTTCAGGTGTATATCAGTATGTAGTGTCTCTACTTTAAAGAGTCCTCTCCTGGTGATGTTCAGGTGTATATCAGTATGTAGTGTCTCTACTTTAAAGAGTCCTCTCCTGCTGATGTTCAGGTGTATATCAGTATGTAGTGTCTCTACTTTAAAGAGTCCTCTCCTGGTGATGTTCAGGTGTATATCAGTATGTAGTGTCTCTACTTTAAAGAGTCCTCTCCTGCTGATGTTCAGGTGTATATCAGTATGTAGTGTCTCTACTTTAAAGAGTCCTCTCCTGCTGATGTTCAGGTGTATATCAGTATGTAGTGTCTCTACTTTAAAGAGTCCTCTCCTGATGATGTTCAGGTGTATATCAGTATGTAGTGTCTCTACTTTAAAGAGTCCTCTCCTGCTGATGTTCAGGTGTATATCAGTATGTAGTGTCTCTACTTTAAAAATGATTCCCTCTATAACAGTACATCCCTTCTTCCTTCCTTCTCTATTTTTATTAACCGTTTACATATTTCTCTGTTTCTCTTTCACAGTTTTCTCCGATGAGGCTCGTCCACCATCTTTAGAAACCCTCTTCTTCTTCTCTCTCTGACACCATGAGCACCGTGGCCCCGGAGCCTCCGTCCCCCATGATCACCTCTGTCACCCCGACCTTTGACCCCGACACCTCTCTCAGCCTGGAGGCGGAGCTTCAGAACCAGGTGGATGGGGGCTCCTCACCTGGCCTGGGCCCCAGCAAAAGCAGCCTCGCTGGGGGAGGATCTTACCTCGGAAGGGACCCCCATAGGTAATGTATATAGAGAGATTACAAAAGTACACGCATCCTTTACTCAAGTAGAAGTACAGATACTCGTGTTTAAAAATACTCTGGTGAAAGTAGAAGTACTGACTAAACTTCTTTACTCAAGTCAAAGTAAAGAGGGCTTTGAAATGTACTTCAGTAAAAAGTACCCATAACTAGCAGCTGTTTTAAAGAGTACCTGACCTCCCTTTATATTAATAGAACAATAATGTCATTGTTAGCTAATGAATGTTTCCATGCTGAACAACGGCAACATGACAACGTTTTCATTGGTCCCTCTTCTTTAGAGAAGACCAGGAAATGATGGATACACGGATCGTGTTCAAATCAATAGGCACACAATGACTCTAAATAATAATGATCACGCCACCAAACACACATTCAAACTAAAGGAACCAGCCTGTTTGGGAAATGTGAGAAGTAGAAAGTACAGGTATTTGGGTTCAACATGTAAGAAGTAGAAAGTACAGGTATTTGTGTTCAACATGTAAGAAGTAGAAAGTACAGGTATTTGTGTTCAACATGTAAGAAGTAGAAAGTACAGGTATTTGTGTTCAACATGTAAGAAGTAGAAAGTACAGGTATTTGTGTTCAACATGTAAGAAGTAGAAAGTACAGGTATTTGTGTTCAACATGTGAGAAGTAGAAAGTACAGGTATTTGTGTTCAACATGTAAGAAGTAGAAAGTACAGGTATTTGTGTTCAACATGTAAGAAGTAGAAAGTACAGGTATTTGTGTTCAACATGTAAGAAGTAGAAAGTACAGGTATTTGAGTTCAAAATGTAAGAAGTAGAAAGTACAGGTATTTGTGTTCAACATGTAAGACGTAGAAAGTACAGGTATTTGTGTTCAACATGTAAGAAGTAGAAAGTACAGGTATTTGTGTTCAACATGTAAGAAGTAGAAAGTACAGGTATTTGTGTTCAACATGTAAGAAGTAGAAAGTACAGGTATTTGAGTTCAAAATGTAAGAAGTAGAAAGTACAGGTATTTGTGTTCAACATGTAAGAAGTAGAAAGTACAGGTATTTGGGTTCAACATGTAAGAAGTAGAAAGTACAGGTATTTGTGTTCAACATGTAAGAAGTAGAAAGTACAGGTATTTGTGTTCAACATGTAAGAAGTAGAAAGTACAGGTATTTGTGTTCAACATGTAAGAAGTAGAAAGTACAGGTATTTGAGTTCAAAATGTAAGAAGTAGAAAGTACAGGTATTTGTGTTCAACATGTAAGAAGTAGAAAGTACAGGTATTTGGGTTCAAAGTGTAAGAAGTAGAAAGTACAGGTATTTGTGTTCAACATGTAAGAAGTAGAAAGTACAGGTATTTGTGTTCAACATGTAAGAAGTAGAAAGTACAGGTATTTGGGTTCAAAGTGTAAGAAGTAGAAAGTACAGTTATTTGTGTTCAAAATGTAAGAAGTAGAAAGTACAGGTATTTGTGTTCAACATGTAAGAAGTAGAAAGTACAGGTATTTGTGTTCAACATGTAAGAAGTAGAAAGTACAGGTATTTGTGTTCAACATGTAAGAAGTAGAAAGTACAGGTATTTGTGTTCAACATGTAAGAAGTAGAAAGTACAGGTATTTGTGTTCAACATGTAAGAAGTAGAAAGTACAGGTATTTGGGTTCAAAGTGTAAGAAGTAGAAAGTACAGTTATTTGTGTTCAAAATGTAAGAAGTAGAAAGTACAGGTATTTGTGTTCAACATGTAAGACGTAGAAAGTACAGGTATTTGTGTTCAACATGTAAGAAGTAGAAAGTACAGGTATTTGTGTTCAACATGTAAGAAGTAGAAAGTACAGGTATTTGTGTTCAACATGTAAGAAGTAGAAAGTACAGGTATTTGTGTTCAATATGTAAGACGTAGAAAGTAAAAAGTGGTCAGAAAAATAAGTAGTGGATTAAAGTACTGATACCAGAAACATGCACTTAAGTACAGTAACAAAGTATTTGTACTCCACTGCTTCCCACCTTTGTGTCTCACATACATTATATGTTTTACTTCAGGTCAAATAAACCCCCCCCCCTTCACACTGGAGCTGATTGGAAGGTCGTCCTCCACCTGCCGGAGATCGAGAAGTGGCTGAGAGCGACGAGCGACCGAGTCACACAGCTCACACACTCTGTGAGCCAGGACCGAGACAACAGACACGTGGACGTCCACCTGGTGCAGCTCAAG